ACATGATGTCCCAGGGACAACATTTACACAATGTCCCAGGGACAACTTCTACATGATGTCCCAGGGACAACATTTACACAATGTCCCAGGGACAACATTTACACAATGTCCCAGGGACAACATTTACACAATGTCCCAGGGACAATATTTACACGATGTCCCAGGGACAACATTTACACAATGTCCCAGGGACAACATTTACGCTATGTCCCAGGGACAGCATTTACACGATGTCCCAGGACAAATTTGTAAATTTCTGGATTACTGTTGATCTCCATAGAATCAAGAACTCATGTCCAGTTTCACAGCTATGGACCAGTTAATTATGTTTCCAGGTGGATAGTTTGATTCATAGATTCAGCACACAACCATTAGTCTAGGCCTTTTAGTTCAAATTCTCTTCACTTATGTTTGTAAAATGATCAGGGAAGCTACTGCAATCTTGCCTGACCCAACCCCCGGGCCACGAAACACCCAAAAAGTTGGGGAACGCTGGTCTAGAGAACACTGGTTAGCTAATGCTGTCGTAAAGTAGCCTATCACTAGCAAACAAACAGCAAGCCAAGTGAGGAACATATGTATAATGCTTACCGTTTATTAAAGAAAAGTATCCTAAAAGGACTTCAAATTCGGCGGACAGGCGGCGGTTTCTCGCAAGTGAAGCGGGCGCGCTGGACTGACAGACAGAGGCGGGCACAAGTGAAGAAAATTTGTTTTCTCCACTTGTATTTCGAAATACTCGAAGGCGGGTATTTTGAAGTCGCAGAAGTATGACGTTACAAGAAGGTGATTGGTCACTTGCAATGTTGAACCTGGAACAACATTAATTATGATGATGTGGGAACAACGCCAACACGAGGATATCAGATCGTCCAAGCAAGATCACAGTGATTATAACATTGGAGATGGATCCTCTTGTTTCTGTAGGGTCTTGGAGGAGTTCCAGGGAGCCAGCCTATGTTACCAAGTGGAATGGATCCCACAAGACAGCAAGGTGCATGCCCACACTGAAACACACACATATAGTCAATAATTACTTTATTTAACAATAATGCAGGCAGGCAGGATTTTGTCTTTTGAAATAATATTTACTGTGCGATCATAGCCTGATTGAGGTTTTGCCCTTAAAACATGCACCCTTATGTATTAACACGACTAAAAGAGGACTCTCCACCTATAGATCATGGATTCCTTAGCCAAATTTTACCGTAGTAGCTGTCAAGATATTTCATTACAAAATAAATAAACCCCGTTATGACACTATAATTGGGAGAAGGGAATCACCAAAGTCAGAATGGGTTCCCGAGGGGATTGTGAAACAAAAGTTTTATGATAATACATTCTCTGGGGAGTCCCTCTAGAAATCACATAACACACTGAAAATTGAAAGCGTTGTTATATCTGATCAAAAACGGTATATAAAGACACAGTTGCCTTATTCATTGCACTGGAAGAATGGCACGTTTATGAGTTTTTAATAGTGTTCAGATAATAGTGTACCAAAGTGGCCACAAAAAGGTGTTAAACACAAAAATGCATGTTTGAAGAGAACCTTTTCTCATTCTGGTAAATCCTACACTTCAGGACATCCAAATATGGGAGGACCAATGCAGAGGATGACTCCACCCAGGGGCATGGTCCCACTAGGACCCCAGGTTTGGGTCAAGATGATTTTTCTTTGAGGACTACTTGCTGTAAGTTTTGTTTCTGATAGTTACTCTCATGTAGTCGTGTCCAAATGGAATTCTGGTTTCTGTTTTTTCCCAGAACTATGGAGGTGGGATGAGGCCACCACTGAATGCTCTGGTTGGTCCTGGGATGCCTGGTATGAGCATGTGAGTGGTATATGCATAACATAATCACAGCCATCATCACCATAACACACGCACATATAGACAGAGTAGCATAAGGCCTATCTGAGCACATGAGCTTATAAAAGAGTAAAATACACTTGTCTGTGTGTCTATTTTTAAAAATGTAAGCTTACTCAGCACATTTTTCTCCAAATGTCAGCTATCTTTAATCGCTCAGTAGAGTTGTTATAGTCAGCCGTTTCCTTTAACTGTCTTTTGCCTACAGCTTTACCACATGTTTTTAACTTTTGGCTCTGAACATGAAACCACAACCTTAACCTTTCCCTCTATTTAATCTTCTTTAGTTTTTTCTTCTTCTTCTTCTTCTTCTTCTTCTTCCATTTACTTGTTTTCTGGCATCTGGGGAGCTTGTTATTGCCAGCTCTACCCAAATAAATTGGAAACAAAGACCCTGCCAAATGCAAAAAACTCAAGTGTATGGGTGTTTTCTAGGGGACCTGGTGGTGGTAGACCCTGGCCAAATCCTCCCAACTCCAATTCTGTAAGTCCTGCAACAAAAATACCGAAGAAGAAGTTTAATTTTCATTTTATGACTTGAGTGGTTTACTTCTTTGTCTTTGTAGACCCCATACTCTTCTGCGTCACCAGGAAGCTATGCGGTATGTATGTTTGAAACTCTTAAACAAGCTAAATAGGCTTTAATTCACAGGATCATGCATGAATGTCATGAAAACAAAACTCTCATTTCAGGGACCTCCGGGAGGAGGAGGGCCACCTGGAACACCAATTATGCCAAGTCCAGCAGGTAAGCTCTGTGTGTATCAGTTGTATATGTGTATGTAGATATATAAACATGCTACTGACCTTTAATTTTCTTACTGTTTCCGTTTTCCTTTTTGTGTTCTGTCAGATTCAACTAACTCTGGAGACAACATGTACACTATGATAAACACAGTCCCTCCAGGTGGAAGCCGGCCAAATGTGAGTGGCTATTGGGTCTGTGTTAGTGTTACAAGTCAAACAGGAATACTGCTGTTAACTTGCCCTATGTGTGTTCTCCGAAGTTTCCTATGGGTGCAGGCAGTGACGGTCCATTAGGGGGAATGGCCGGGATGGAGCCACATCACATGAATGGCTCTTTAGGTACAAAAACAAGAAGCTTCTGTGTTCGGCAGGGGTAAAACAAACAAACTAAAAAACCTCTGGTTATGTTTGTCCCTGATTTGTCATGAAAAATTAGTATTCATTTGATCGTGGTGATGTGCATTATTTTCATACTTGTGTTCCCTCCTTCAGGGTCGGGCGATATGGACAGTCTCCCCAAGGTATGAGAAGTTTTTCTCCTACTCTGAACTACACTTCTGATTTTTGTAGCAGATACTGTGATATATGTTTTATTTGTCTTTGAACAGAACTCTCCTGGTAACCTAAGTATGAGTAATCAGCCTGGGACGCCTCGGGAGGATGGAGAGATGGGAGGAAACTTCCTTAACCCTTTTCAGAGCGAAAGTGTGAGTGAAAATTAGTTTTTTAATATATGGGATTACTGGAGGTTTTTGCTGCTGAGAGTTCCCTGTAATACTTTGCCTTAAGCGTGCCCATTTTTTATGCTAAGCTAAGATACTACTTGCTGTACTTTTTACCATGCGGATAATATCAGTCTTACTAGTCTCTGCCAGATATATAGACTGTATATAAAAGATAACACCACCACTGGTTTGCTGACTACTGTTCTGAAGCCTCGACTTTATGACGCTGGCCGTCGCCATCTTCTTTTTCTTTGTTTAAACTGGACATAGTGTATTTTCACTATTTCACTATTTCACTTTGGCTCTGGCTAGTTAGCTTAGTTCCCCGTGATGCTAATTCTTGCTGGTGAAACAAAGAGGCTTCGCAGCTGACTGCGAGTGCTCACAGACCTGATCCCTGTCTTCAAAGCAATCATTTCAAAGGCAACAAAGTCCCACTTGGCGCATATGGTCCTAATAATTTTGGTCTCCAACCACTAATATGCTTCGTGTGACTGTTGCATAATTAAGACTGATGGCTAGAGATGTGCTTTTCTCTCTTAAACACATAAACAGTTGTGTTTTTATGTTTCTGCTTAACTTTTTTCTGCAGTATTCTCCAAACATGACGATGAGCGTGTGAGGGCTCTGGAAGCAGGTTTGGTCTGTCGCTTAATAACCTGGTGTGGCTCAGCAAAAAGCAGTGAGACATGATGTGATGCCATCTAGGCCAGTGACTCTTCCTCCACCACCTGCCCAATCGGACAGTAGCCCCAGGCGCCATCTTACTACTACTACCCCCCTGACCGAAGTCCCACCCTTCCATGGTTTCTGTCCATGTTTCTACGCTCCTGTTTTTCTCCAGTTCTAAGTGGTGACTCTGCTACCTTCATCTGCTCTTCCTCTGCTCCAATGAGACTGTACAAAGGAACTAAATTGACCCAGAGGAGAACTGTAAATTTGCATACAGTGTGTATGAGAGTGCACACAGTCCGGCCACAGACAGATTTTCCTGCCTTTGCATCAGATCACAAAGCTCAGTACCCAAAAACAAAATACCAGTATCCTAAAGTTAAAATTCCAGTGAGTTTAAATATATAAAGTCACTGTTTGATTGATCTAAATGGCTGTCATCAAGTCTTCTTTTTTCTAATTAGTCTGTTTGCAGTACCAGAAGAGAAGTGGAGAGACATCGCAATCCTTGGGCCGATATTTGAGAAGTCTTTTTAGAGTTTGTAAATGTCTAAAGACCGCATACATTGCACTTAAAGTTTTATACTGTCAATGGTTTTCTCATCCCACTTGACAATATTTGTTTTCATATTTAATTTGAAGGCGAATGTTCATTAAGAAAAAAACTCGCTCAAGGCTTAAAGTGAGACTATGAACCTGCTTTTACAGCAGCCAACATGCCACAGGTGGAAATGGGAAATGTCTAAACACAAAAGTCGGCAAAGTGGCATTGTAGATAGGTCATTGCATTAGCTAACATTTAGCAACTAAAAGCTAATGGTCATACCAGACCAAGCAAGACAGATAAAGCTAAAGTCCTGAATGTATTGAACTAAGCATTCATGCATTCTAGTAGTTACGGATTCATCTTTCAATTAGTCTGAGGGAAAACGAGCTAATTCGTCTTTAAAAACTTCCATAGTCTGACTTTAAGTCACATGAGATCAGTCACTATGCTAATTGTAATTAAACTGAAGTCAGCATAAGGCTGAGGAATGTTTGCACAAAAGTTAGTACTCAGTAGTACTCAGCAGTACTCAGTAGTACTGTACAGACTGAAAGTTTTTATTTCACCTGAACTCTTACTACAATTCATCCTGTGGGTTTTTCCCATTATGTGCTTTTGTGGGGCCGAAACAAATGTTTTTGACAGAAATGAAGGGAATCATTGGTTTGTTTGTTTTACTTGGTGACAAAACATGCTCCCATATCCTAGACATAAAAATGTTCAAATGAGAAAGAGAAGTAATAAGAGGTAAGCAGTATGGATGATAAACTGCAAGCTTTGGTCACTCATACTTAACTGTCATCCGGAAAAACTGTGATTTTTAGTATGATGAACAATTGGTTGGTACAGAAAAATAAAACAAGCTCGTTTTTAAATAATCTTTGAAACCTTTTTCACTGCCCAAAATGAATTATTATCATGTACAAAGGGTGAATATTCCTGCAAACATTCTCCTTTCCCTTCCCTTACTGCAAAGTGTACAGCTCACAAATGTAGCTCCTCTGTCTTGTATGTGTATTTGATATTATTATTATTATTATTATTTAAAGATAATGCTAGAGAGAATTATTATTGCAAAGGGAACGATGGACTGATGGCGCACCATCACAGCTGACCTGAGATGTTTTATTTTGTTTTGTGTTAGATTGAAGCCATAAGTGGGAGTACATAAAG